GAATTTTCTGACAGTCCAAGGGCAGAAACTTTTCTTTTCATCACCATCTGGGGCCCACTCAGCCTCCTATTTGCTGTCTATACACAGCTCTTTTCCTGGCTGATACAGCAGCTGGGGCTTGAAGTTGACCACTTACCTCCATCAAGTGCCAAGGTAAAAAATAATCACAGCTTTACCTTTGCCCCCCATACTTTTCCATGGCATGGAGCTTAATTAAGCACAGGAAGAACTTTATCTTCACCTTCACCAGAAATCTACAATTCTTTAACTAAAAATAAGTGATTCCTGGAGCCTGAAATATCAAACAATTTATTTTAATCTGCATTATTATATACGTGTCAGTTTTTTTGTCAAAACATTCAAGAAGTATTGTCCTTTCTCATTGTTACAAATGAGTACCAGTAAGGATGGTGGTCATCTGGCCTGCTGCTCTATGTAACATTCTGTGTACGAACATTTTGGAAGAATGCACTGTCTCCATCTTTGGGGTTGGATAAGGACACACACTGTTCTTCCAAAATGTTGACAAAATGCTACAGCCCAGACAATCACTGTCTGTATTCAAATCACCATAAAAACCTTAAATTCTATAGTTCCTACCAGTATTGTTTGTGTAGAAAAATTGCAGCATAAGATAGCTCTGACATAAAATGGCATATTAATATTTTATATCAATATTTATTTCTGTATAAATGAATGTCATATAGTACCAGAGTATACTGACATGTTTATTGTAGTTCCCGACAAACATAGTAAATCAGTGAAATTTGGGAACCCAAAACTTTAATTTTATTACATGAAGGTCTTTGTAAGATCCTTTGGCATGTTTTTATCCTGGAATGGTCTGCCAATATTTATGGTGTTCCTTGCATTACCCAGTCCCTGCAACTCTCCCAGAGATGGCCATAGGCAGACTCAGGTCCTATAAACAGGTGCAGAGAGCCCTTTCTAGGTAAGATGAATCGAACAATGAGAGTGATATGGCATAATGTGACTGAGAAAGTGTGCTACTTCTAATTTCAATTACTTCTTCTTCCCTCTTCTTAGTTTAATGGCACTTTGTAAACTGAGTAGGTTATATGGAGTCAAATGGGAATATTAAGAATTATGAAGGATAGAGAAGTTTTCAGCTGCTGTCTGTTTTAGGCCACTACCTTAGCATTTGCCCAGACTTCTTTGGGCAAAATTCGAAGAAAGTAAGGTTAGCTAGCTTGCAGGATGAGATCATTTAACCATACCATTTGTTACCGATTTCTAAAATTTCCTTCTACAAAGTATATAGCAGTTACACTAACATGGGATCGATGGAAGACCCAAATTAACAGCAGCAACTCTACTATACACTACTATTCTTAGTCATACCCGAATCTCGTTAAATCATGAGCTACATAACCTAAAAATAAATTAATTTTAGCCTATTCAAACAAAAGACAGTGTATTAGCATGTTTGAATTGCATGTCGTTCTGAAAATGTTGAAAGATCAATATATGTACGTGACCATAAACTAATGCAAAATCTAAAGTTAGAATTTTGGCATTATGCGGAGTGTAGCACTACAGTTTGTAGCCTTAGAAGCAAATACAGTAGTTACTTTGCCCCTATCCTTTGCAAAATATTTCGGAACTGTAGAACGACAGATTATTCTGCATAATACACCAACAGATGGTAAAATAAATTAAAATGAGATACAGTAGAATAAAATATCATTATTTACATTGTGTGAGATGTAACAATAATGTGACCACCTGGGCACTCAGTTACTGAACCACTAAATATTACAGCTCTGAATAATATCTTCAACACTTTCGCTGGTGAATATTGTCAAAATATTTACGCACCGTTTCTTCGGCACAATATAGCCACGAGGCAAGCTTGTGAGTACAGATAATACTTATGCCGCTGCGCCCCAAATAAAATTAAATTTCACTAGTATCGACCGTGTTAGTAAACTGTAGTACTGATATTGCAGACGTGCATAGAGAATTACAATCTTTGAGATCTTAGGATACTACCTTTATTCAAATGTGTTTTAGTCCATACGGGAAGTCTAGCAAGAGCTATAATTTAATAATTATAACTTATCGCTCGGAGATCCGTTTCTGTGGACAGTTTTCAATAGCAGAGTCCGACAACGTTAACATTTTCAGATGTCACCTCAAAGTATTGCACTTGTTTCAATATTCGTAATATCAGAACATGAAAAGTGCTTCATACAACCCCACGCAAACTCCAATGGTTCATCAGTTATCACTAACAAATGAAAAGTTAAACATGGATTTCGCGTGACTGCCGTGGTTAAACCTTACACAGAATATTACCCAGAGAAAAGTCAGTATGTTTATGTTACCATGTCAATAAAAATCATTCTGGATGTGTTGAAAGAAGTACCAACTCCCTTTCTTGGAAATGGTGAACATATTTCAGCCTGTTAATTTACTGAGTTATGGCTATCATAACTGAATAAGGTATAATACTGAAGACGTATCACCATAACTTCCAGTGGGGTTGCAAAATGCAGTGCCTTCTTTGTTGAAATGTGTTGGTACTTAATTATGATAGAAGATACAACTTAAGTTTTTTGACAGAAAGTATACCTTTTAAAATATAAAAAATGGCATGCATGGAAAACCAGCAGAATGGTTGCTTCTTGAATACAGTAAAGTAACCAAATGTACCACCATGCAGATATATGGGGAAGTAGAGGTATAGCTCCACACATTCTTAACCTCAGCACTAAATGGAGGTGAGTGGCCGCCTTCACTCTCCAGCCACTTTACTCCTGAGGAAATAATGACAAGAGGCCAAATTGGTCCGACAGCTGGCCTGATTATTATGGCTAAGAAAAATCCTGCCCTCTTGGGAATTAAATCCCAGTCATCCAGCCCACATCTCTTTAGTCGCTATACTGACTGAGCTGCCCAGTTCCCATATATTTAACAAACAATATGTTTAAGATTTCAAAAAAAGCCTGACTCCATTATGAGAGAAGTGTTATACAGTATTCTTATTGAATTTGGTATATGGAAGAAGCTAGTGAGTCCAATAAAAATATCCTTAAATGAAACCTGTAGTAAAATTCGTATAGGTAAATATTTATCTGATTCACTTTTCGTCAAGAATGGTCTGAAAAAAGAGATGCTTTTTTCCATTGCTATTTAACTTTGCCTTTGAATGCACCATCAGGAAAGTCCAAGGTAGGCAGGATGGTTTGCAGTTGAATGGGACACATCAGCTGTTGGCATATGCTGATGATGTTAATTTGTTGGATGATGACATAAATACAATAAAGAGAAACACAGATGTTTTACTAGAAGCTAGAGGAAGGTGGACCTGAAAATAAATTCAGAAAAACTAAGTAAATGTTAATATCCTATAAGCAGACAGACAGGCAGAATCATATTAGGATGTATAATAAATCCTTTGAAAGTGTTACAATGTTTAAATATTTGGGTACAATAACAAATCAAAATGATATTCATGAGGAAATTAGGAGACTAAATTCTGGAAATGCTTGCTACTTTTTAGTTCATAATATTTAGTCTTCCTGGCTGATTTCTAAGAACCCAAAGATTAAAATATATAAAACAATAGTTTTGCCTGTTGTTTTGTATGGATGTGAAACATGGTCTCTCACTCTGAGGGAGGAACATAGATTGCAGATGTTTGAGAATAGGGAGTTGAGGAGGATATTTAGGCATAGGAGAGAAGAGGGTGGGGTAGGTAGAAAACTACATAATGATGAGCTTAAAAATTTGTACTCCTCCCTCAATATTGTCAGGGTGATTAGGTCAAGAAGAATGAGATTGGCAGGCACGTGGTATGCATGGATGGGGTAAGAGGTGTGCACCGGGTATTTGTCAGGAAGCTTGAAGGGAGGAGGCCACTGGGGAGACCAAGACGCAGATGGAAGGATAATATTAGGTGGGATCCATGGGAGATAGGAGTTAAAGCCAAATGGATTTTGCTGGCCCAGGACAAGGACCGGTGGAGGTCTTTGGTTAGTTTGGTGATGAACCTTCAGGTTCCCTAGGCCATCTAGTTAGTTAGTTAGTTATGTTTACTTTAGTGACATACAGTGGAACCTCAATATAACACGGTCTTCAGGGGACAGTTTCAGTACCCGCGTTATATGTGAAATTTACATTTATCTAATTTTGGAATCCCTAACATTATGTATATTTATCCAATGACTAAAATTCATGAAATTTGAGGTACATTTGAAACTTATGTTTCACCAATGCTACTGGCACAGACCACTCTAAATTACATTTCATAGAAATTTGTACAGCGTAAAACATGTAATCATGTTGGGGGCCATGATCACAGCTGCAGTACATCCAAGTTTGCGGTATATCGAGGTTCCACTGTATTTTAGTTCTTTATTTCATACTGTAGAAGAAAAGGGTGCTGATATGATGTACTGCCAGAGGAGAAACACTAGTGAAATGTATATTTGAATATAAAAAACAGAAAAGGAAAATGGTGTTACATATTTAACATCCTATACATAAAGAATTTAATCTTTGTTGCTGTTTGTCTACTAATATCTGACCTGATACATGTCTAAGTTTCTGTTCCATGCATTCATATGCACCTATTAAATATTTTCCCCTTCTTAGGTATTTCCCAGTTATATTTTTTTTAACACTTGTATCTGTTACTTCCTACAGGTCAGTCTTAATAAAATTGTCCCTGTGTGTCATGTCTTTATAAGGGACATGGAGGCTAAACTTCGCACATTCCAGACCTTAGCACTGGATGGATGATGAGTGGCCAACTTCACACACTAGAAACTTTATTCTATTGTAAAGGAGGCTAAGTGGGCCTGGTTTGGACATGATGGCAAGGGAAAAGTTCTTGCCCCTATAAAATACAGAACTCTGACTATCCAGCCCAGAGACAGGTAGTTAACTGAGATACCCCAGCAAAATCAATCCAAGGCTTGCAGTTCATAACAAGCTTCATGAAAATCAGGCATTTGGTTGCTGGCTCTCACTTCAGAACCCTGGGTTCACACCCAGGTCAGCAGTTTGTGGTGGACACAGTGGCATTGGAATAGTTGCTCTGAGTCCTTCAGTTTTTCCCTGTTAGTATCATTCCACCACTGCTCCATATTCATTCATATATCATCTAGGTAATGGACAGAGAGGTTCAGTTCAAAAGAGATGGTCTTACTCCACCAGAACAATATAATACAATAGAATACAATATTATTGTGAATTATATTCTTCATTATATGATACTGTGATAGGAAGAAAATATTTGTCAGTTAACAACATGTTTATTTTTCTTGGTGTCAAACTAGTGCCTCTTTTTTGTGTGTTTATGTTTTTTATGCTTTGATGATTTCTTGTGCTTCTTATGTTTGTTTTTATGAGAATGTTCATTTGTTTTCTCCACCCATTCAGTGTGCACTGGAGCAACTGCAATGCTGGGAAGTACTTTACTCACTGTACGTACCAGTGTGGTATTATTAGTAACTGATGAAGTAACGGTTGGCAGTCGTGGTCCATACATGTTTTCTTCAATGTATTCTAACTTATTGTTCTGTTCACACTCCACAGGGTCTTCATTTGTTGTTTGTTTACATTTGTTGATGTCTGACTGCATCTTAATCTCAGGCACAGTATTTGATTTTTCTTTCTTTTGAGTATTAATAGCATCTAAATCCAAATTAGCAAATACTCCTCTGGGTGGTGACATGTTTCTTTGGGAATTTTTTTCAGCAAATGTAAGAATGTTATTTGTTGATGCAGTGTCTTCTCCTCCTCTTCCTACTTGAGAAACAGTTTCAGGCAAGGGACTTATGGTTTTGTTTGTGTCACTGGGTGTTATTTCATTTAATTTACTTTCTTTGACCAGATTTAAAGAATTATTTTCATTGGTGTCACTATCAGAGTCCTCACTACTGCTTAGAAAGATGGCTTTATACAAGTCTATTTTAGCTGGAGGATCTGGAAATTCAAGTAATGAGTTCTCAGATTTCTGTTCAGAAGAGACCTCATTAAGTGTATTTGATTCTACTTCATGTTCTTCTACTTCTATTTCTTGCTTTAAAGTAACTTCTGGAAGCTCTGATACAGACGGCACTTCATTTAGTACAAAGTTGGCAGGAGGTTTCAGTGCTGTGTTATAAGATGAAGCATCCAAGAAGTTGAAGACAGAGAATTTTGATGTAGTTTTCTGTCTGGCATTAGATGATTCAGTGGTCCTGTAACAATGGTCCAAACAAACTGTTAATCAAGATTCTCATATCTTGTTCATATGTTCAAGAATATACACATGTTATGTACTGGATATATGTTGCCTGAAAGAAAAATACCAGTGTTCTAAAAATTCTACCATAAATCCTCATCAGTTGCACATTAAGAATGAAATTTCACCAACAAAAAGGAGTACATTTTGTAAAATACCAGCATGTGTTTTCATTCTTACTAACTGAATTTTAAAAAAAGACTTTTCAGTAATTGGCATAACATATTGAGCAGTGATCATGGCAATTTGTCATTGATGTTGAACCTGCTTTTTGGCTTCCTGTAGACTCTATGACCAAAGGACCCATTTTGAGTCCTTCGACAGTAAGAATCTATAGCAAGCTAATACACACCAACTGGTACCTGGATGCTACCAAACATAACCATCCAGCCCAGAAATTCAGCATCCTTGCTGTCTTAATACACTAGGCAAACAACATCTCAGGTGTAACCAACCACCAAAATGAAATGGCTCACCTCAGAAAAACCTTAAAGAAGAATGGGTATTATGCTATTCAGATCCACATATTCCACTCTAGGAGAAGACTTTGTGAGATACCAACCAAGCTGAAACCCATCAGTACAGACATTTGCCATTTTTACAAAATCTCTCCAATCTTGTCAGCAGGATGCTGACATGGCACATTACTAGATCCCATGTGAATGTGGAGCAATCTACATCAGTGAAATGGGCTACACAATATAATAATGAACAAAGAAGCACCAAAATGACATCTGGTTCTGCCATTCAGAATGCTCAGCAGTGGCAGAACACTCAATCAACCAGAGCCACTGGATACAATTTGACAAAATGATGGCTTCCTGAAGCTGCCCCACTACACCAGCAGGTCATTCAGGAAACCAGTGATATCAGCTTACAAAATAACTTTTCCAGAGGTGGCCATCAGTTAAGCCAAGCTTACAAGAACATCATCTACACACATAAGGAAGACAGAGGATGTCACAGCCAGACCCAAATCACTAACCCCTCTTCAAGACCAATAACAGCTCCATCAATTCCACAGTCTGACTTGTCCCCTCTGGTCTATCCTTTCCACTCATTTTCACAAACCCCTGACTGCACAGGGTATTGCCATGTCCCATGCCAGTCACTCATACCCTCTGAATAGTCCCCTAAAAGTGCCAGTATTTCCCATTTTTCTCATCATTCCTTCAGCTCGTTCCCATTGGCTCAGACATGGCTGCATCTCTCCCTTCTTCAACCCTGGGTCTGACTGACCACTTCCTGCAACCTGATCCTCATATAAACCACCTATTTCCAGACATTCCTCATTTCAGCCCTGATGACAGAGGGAGAGATAATACAGTCCTCTGAAAAGATGATAACAAGTCAACTTCTACATAGTGTGCACCCAAAAGCAGGTTAAACATTAATACTGAGTAGTAGTCAAAACAACATCTCACCCAGGATAGAGTTCTGGAATATTGAATCTCTTGCACAGTAAACTGCATGGTTGCCAGTCAGACTCCTCTCTTGTAAGATGGCCAAACATCTTCAACTTGGCTGCTGCTTTCTTTTCACTGTCACTGTCAACAGATTTGCTAACAGATGGTAGTGGATTACTCAAATCTTCAGGCTGAGAAGCTGACACAAATCGATCACTCATTATGCCTGACAGAGGCCGATACAGTCGTGCTGCCTGATCAAATTCAACCCTTTCACGTTCCTTTTCCCATTCTGTCATCGTGATAGGCTGGATGTATGACAGTCGTTCTGTAATAATGAACATAAATTTGCTATCAGTGACAATAATTTCTGTTCATGTGTGCCATTATGTAAACTACATGAAAATTAATATTCTGATAATATAAATATGATATTTTACTGTGTATAGAAAAATAAGTTATATCTAAGTAGTCTGTTATTTTGTCAAATCTTGCATTAAAACTGCCTTTAATTTTGACTTCCTTTTACAGATTAGGCTACTGTACCTTTTTGTCCTACTTTACTTAAAGTAAGATATTGTTCATAGCGTTTCTGCTTCTCGGGATAAGCAACAAATGGCCGGAACTGACTACATCCTTCTTCTGCAGATACTTCCAGCATTTGTATCTTATCTTCAGCAGGTAATTTATTTCCTTGCTGTGTTGGACTTGTTATATTATCCTTCTGAGCAGTTGACTTTTGGGCAGGTTCACTTAAGATCTGTGCCCTATCTGTGGCTGTAAGATTATGACGCTGCAGTCCCTTCCTTTTTGTTTTCAGTGACTCATCATTATTCAGAGAGGATCTTTCAGTAGGAGAAGGTTCAAATCTTGACTTCCTTGAAACATGTATTGGTTGGAATTCATGTGGAAGTACTGGAGGAGGGAAGTGTTTCTTCCGTGTCATTACAGTTGTACCAAGAATGAAACCTATTAAAGAACCTTCAGAATAATCAGCTGATGCAACTGTAGTGACCTTTTGCTTCTGCTTTGATGTTGTAGGTTCACTATCAAGAGTGAAATCATACTGTAACTTGTCTTCTTGACTATATATGTCCTCATCATCATCTTCAAACGCCCCAACACCAAAAGCCTGGAAAAGAAAGTTGTGATTAGTTTCAAGTTCCAACCTTTAAACTCACAAGGTTAGTTCCACTTTATAGTAAACTACTGGACGAGTTTTCTGAATATTTTTATAGTTTCAGTAAACATAAAACTATCAGTTCACAAAACATCATCATACTTATCAGATAGTATTTTTAATACATTATCATATATTGGTAACTGAAATGTTATTGAAGTCATGGTCTTCAGAAAAGGCAGGAAAGTGAGGTATGAAGACAGATTTGTCTACATTGTTAAGTGTTATAAATATCTGTGAATAACAGACTAGTGGGACATTATCCACTACTATGCACATTATGGAGAGAACAGTAACCACAGTATGGGCCATGGTGGGCATTCACAGCCTACGTAAGTTATCACTGGAAACAGCAATTAAACTCTATGATTTAAAAACAGTGCTAATTTTAACATATTACCTGGCAATGACTGAGCTATCCCATCTCTTAACAGTAGTAATAATGACTTTAACTACAACAGTACAGGTAACGATTAACCCTTCCCTAGTATCTCACTGTACAGTGGTGTAATGCTGTTCTTAGTCACTAATATTCCATATGAACTGGTAGCATCAGTAGTTCGTGTTCTAAATCTTAGTTGAAAAAGAAGATAATTTTTGATTATGTGGCTTCAGATTATTCCCTCTTATTAGCCTAAGTAACCAAGAATGTACAATGCATAAAAAATGTTGACTGGAAAACCTGAAAGGAAGAGAACACTTGCAAGTCCAAGACACAGATAGGATAATATTTAGATGGATATTAGTAAAGTGCAATGTAAGGGCGTGAACTGGATTCATCTGGCTCAGAATAAGGACCAGCGGCAGGCTGTTGTGAATACAGTAGTGAGCATTCTGGTTCCATAAAAATCAGGAATATCTGTCCTCTGCTCCATGGAGTTTCTCATGCCAATCATAGGAATTTGTTACATTCTGTATAATGCCTACCTGCCCTGTAATTAACACTTTCTTATTTTTCTCCTCCATTCTTAGTGGTGTTGGTGTAAATAGGTCAGTATGACTTGAAAGGACAGACCTTCTATCCAAACCACTGTATCCTAAACCAAAACAATTGTCTTTTGGTTTACACAAGAAAGGATGAAGATCATCTGGAGCAAAAGATAGTTCATCATCATCCTCATCATCTGTGGAACTTTGGCTGTCTTTGTCAGACTGATTGCTTTTAACCACATCTTGTGGTAAAGCACAGCCATAAACTTTAACTCTTGTTTTCTTGTGTTCCTCTTTCATTTTCTTCTTTTCCACTTTTGTGACCCTTGGTCCAGTTCCTTGTCCAGGTTTCCATCCCATTTTTTTTAACAGCTTCATTCCAACAGTTTCTCTGTTAAACGATGGTTAACATCGACCAGACTACACAGCGCAACAACCCAGAAGACAGAAATCTTCATACTCATCGCCCCGATGACGGAGGCAGTATGACCTCTTAAACGTTGGTTAACATCGACCAGACTATAAAGAGCAACAAGCCAGAAGGCAGAAATCTTCATACTCACCACTGTGAAAACCTCAAATCTTACATATATAAAATTATTCTGAATCCTTCAAAATGAACTTAACAGAAGTATAAATTCAGAAAATATGAAATTCCTTTAAATTCAGGATTTGTTTAGCCCAAGCCTTCTGCAAAAAATAAGATTAACTTTACTATGTGGGATTCAGACATTTTAAACCTAATAATACAAGGCTATTGGCTGGACTTCAACACAGGGTTACTGGTTCAGTGACATGCTGCTGTGATATAGAGGGAGCTGGACTGACATTTGCCAATAAAGGCTCATATATCTGTATAAAAGTATAATTTTACCTGTCATTTTATCTATTTCTAGAAGAAGAATGCTGCTTGCTGTCAATTTTGTACTGTTAGTTACTCTGACCACAATACAAAACACAAAATTAAGATCACTGAACTGCATTGGTATATCTGCTACAAACACACAGCATGATAACAAGGACTGAACTTACTTGGTGGGTTGTAACAGACCCATTAAGACTGGTTCTCCTGGAATGGGTCCATCTGAAAGTTGATGGCTTCGCACTCTTTTCATGCTACCTTCATTAAAGTCACTTCTGGCTCGAAGAACTTTTGGAGCTATTCCAAATTCATCCATATCCTATAAAATAAAATGAGGAATAAAATTTCCATATAGTGAATGTGTTTCATGCCAATTCAACTGTCCTGGCTTTTCGCAACTATCAACACATCAACCCTTATCATACCAGGCTTTTATATCACAGCCTGATTAAATATGGTATTTAATTAATATATGCACAACCCTGTGTGCCGCCACATAGCACAAGAGGCCTCAAAGGCTACAGTTCACATTTCCTACCAGGGTTCATTGAGCTGATAAAAGTTAAGTAATTCAAACAAAAGCTTAAAAAAGTAAATGTAAATTAATTTATTTCCATAGGGGCATTTTCTCCATATTAGACATACTGGTTATTTATATGCCTTCACCTTCTATGTAAACTTTTTGATGCAAGATGACACATAACAAGGGTATTAAATCTGATTACCCTGTTTGTTTAAAGAAGCATGAATTCTATATCATTCTCACATGAATGGTTCAGTAAGTGGTTTATAGCTATTTTTTGTGTGTAAAAAGGACAAAGGACATAAACTCATGTTGTAAGAAATTTGCACCTTCTGTTTCTGAAAGTATGAGAACTGCAAAAGAAATGTTCCTATTCTGATCACAAAAGACAGTATTATTTGTGTAGCCTGAACGTGTGTAACTGAACTGTTACCTCTTCATCCATGAAATCTTCAGCTTTCTGTGGCATTTTGTTTGCTTTATCAGACCGAGAGGACTTGAATGCAGATGGTGTCCATCCTTCAAGTGATCCCACTGAATTGAAAAATCCGGCTGAAAATCCTCCAGTGAAAGCTCCATGAAATCTGCGTCTACCATGCTTATCTGTGGCAACTTGATCCTTCAGTGAGAATGGTTTCTTCCTTGGAAATGCATCTATAATTAAAAGACAAGTAGCATGGTATTTATTACTCTTCAGTCACTTATGGTGAAGATGTACAGCTAACTTTTACTATCTCATATTCACTTACAGAATTGTAAAGACATTTATAATGAAAAAATCTGCATCTGAGAGAAAGAATTAAATATGAAATGGAAAATATTACATTAGAAACAACTTTATACTTCACATCTTTCTTTTGATATCATAAAGGACTACTGCCTCGAACTAAGGTTCATAAGATTTACAGGTTCAACTTTCTCCCTGTATTGTAGGATATGATATACAAAAAACATTTCTTCTGTGGAATATTGCTTATGAAAAGAGGGTTTTGTGATGAGGAAACCAACTTTTGTCAATGTATTCATAAGACATGACATAATGTAGTTTTTCATAATTTGTTTTTTTTAAAACATACTTGAAATTAAACCATAGTTATGATACTGCCAGGAACAATTCAAATTGAAATATTAATTACACCATCACAACATTTGAAATATTTATTATGTTTATAGTTGCCATATAAATTAACATATTAAGAAACTGAGATACACTGGCAGTTTGAAAGTAAGGAGGTGGACTAGTGTGCTCGCTACTGGACCAAAGATTAGCAGATTCAAACCTGGCCAAGGTCGATGGATTTTTAAGGATGATAAAAATCACAACTTCCTTCAGAGGGGAAGTAAAGCCAGCAGTCCCATGTCATATATTTATGGCATGTAAAAGAACCTTACGAGCATGAATGAGATGTTTCAAGCTTAAAAATTAGTACTCCTCTCCCAGTATTGTCAGAGTGATTAAGTCAAGAAGAATGAGATAGGCAAGGCATGTGGCACACATGGATGGGGGCAAGAGGTGTGCACTAGCTATTGATCAGAAAGCCTGAGGGGAACAGACCGCTGGGGAGACCTAGACATAGATGTGCATGTTAAAGCCAGGGTAGCTCAGTCAGTACAGTTACTGACTACAGACTGGTTGACTGGGGCTCAATCCATAACAGGTGCTGAGAATTTTTCCTCCAGCCTCTGCATCCAGACCAGCTCTGGGGCCCACTCAGCCTCCTTTCCAATGAGTATTGGGGTCCTTTCCAGGGGGTAAAGCGTGGCCGGGGCATGACACTGACCCCCATCTAGTACCGAGGTGAAGAATGAGTAAGAGCTATACCTCCTCTCTGGCATATATATATATATATATAACCTATACCACAATTATCAACATTGCCAAAAACAAGCATATATGATACTTAAGTAAAAACCTTCATCAAGAGGATCGAGAGCAGTTCCGTATTGTGTAAAATCTTCTTCTTCCGAATCACTTGACATTTCTTCTTGTTTTAATACTGTGTTGTGTATATCGATGAAGCACCAATAGACATTTTTCGAGAGTTCAGGTTGTTTAATGTCTCGATTTATAATTTCGATATATGTCGACTCCAAAATAAAAAGGAAGGGAGTGAAAATGTTCTGTTTGGATGTTAAGATAACGTTTATTACTGTGGAAGTTTTATCAGAAAGGTTGATTCGTTCCTAGCAATGGCTGTTAGCTCTCTATGTGGCGAAGAATCGAAAAGAATGGGTAAAATGAGTCTTAGTTATATTAAAGATTCAATAGTGAGGAAGAGTGGGAGGCAGAAGGGATCTCGAGCTCATGTGTGTTGCTGTGAAACATCAGAAGATGCAAATGGCGAAACAGATGAATCTGAGATGTCTTGTTCGAAGAATGATTTGTGTCTAGAAGGAAATAGTGACAGGTGTAAATGTGCAGGCAGACCATTAGCCGATAAACATAAACTTGGTATTTTTAAAAGCTTGAAAAAAAGATTTCAGTTCAAAACAAACATAGGTCCTAGGCCAATGAAATGCAAATCAAAACACACATTTAAAAGTGTAGAATCGTCTAGTAATTATTCCGTTCCTTTGCGTGAAGAATCTTTGAATGAAGGGTTCACTTCTGCCAATCCAAAGAAGTCAAAAGAAGGAACAAGGACTTTATGTCCAGTGCCACCACCCCTCCGTTTTCTTAGAAGCTCAGGTAATGACAAGAGTAGCACAGTAAGCCTGACATCTTTGCATGAACCAAGGGAAAGACTGTCTGGAGTACATAAAGTTCCTGATGTTGTTCAAAATGTGTGCAGGTTCCATAGTATGTCACCAGAAATGCAAACTGCTAGCAGCAACATTATAGCCTTACCAGCACTAAGAAGGAATATAGATTCTGAGAAAGATTTTCCAAGAAGGCTCAGTAGGACAGGCAACTGTGACACAGAAAGTTCAGGTTACACTGAAGCCCATAATTTTATCTTGAATGTAGATGAAGATGAGATTGTGCAATATGAACCTTGTGACATTGTCAGACACACCATTGGTGAGGATGATGAACCAGTGCCTTGTTCCACTTCTCGGAGTTTGACCTGTGAATTGTTTAAATTGGCCAAGTATGGTTGGTATTGGGGTCCAATCTCACGAGAAGAAGCTGAAGAAAAACTGCTGGACCTACCAGATGGAGCATTCCTGGTGCGTGACTCATCAGCAGACCGTTACCTCCTAAGTGTGAGTTTTCGCAGTTCAGGAAAGACTTTTCATACTCGCATTGAACATAGTTATGGTCTGTTCAGCTTCTATGCAACACCTGGAGGTGAAGGCTTTTCAAGCATTGTTGAACTTATTAATCATTCTATGTCCTATTCAGAATCTGCTGTGTTTTGTTACTCTCGACCACGTGCTCCAGGTTACCCAGCATTCCCTGTTCGGTTGGCTAGACCTGTGTCACGATTTACACAAGTAAGATCCCTCCAGTATCTCTGCAGGTTCGTCATACGCCAGTACACCAGAGTGGATAATATACAGAAGCTCCCTCTGCCCAGTAGACTGAAAGGTTACATTCAGGAAGGTCATTATTAGCTACATTGTTTCTCTGTGACAGAATTAGTGAGATTTTAATTTCAAAGAATTATCCATATTTTGTACATATTGTATTAAATTCTACACTGAATGTTGGAACGTATGTTAAATTATAATTTGGAGAAGATTTTTTTTTTAAATTTAGGTTCCTCTTGACGATTTGATGGTAACTTTTGGCCAAATCTGAGTTAAGAGTACTTCCCATAAGTGGGAATAATGATAAGTGGCTGTAAGGATTTGTTTCTTATATTCAGTCATCAAATTATTGTAGTAAAAGTTATGTTTATCAAAAGGGAATCTTAATTTTTAAATGCATCAACACAAAGTCCATTAATTAAGGAGTTATCAGTTACATGAAACATAATAAGAAAGGAATGTACAAGAGCAAGGCCTCACACTTAGGAAGTTTGCAGTATCATGAAACATCTTGTTTCAGACTACATATTAATATATGTGATGACTTGCTCTGGTAAGTAATCTTGTCTTATTATATTGTGGATTTAATTAAATGTAAGTACTTTCATATTTTTAAGTAGAAATGAGTTCGCTTTTAATCTTATCACTTCTCAGTTCTGTATTAACATGTATTTTTTGTCCAGTTGTAGAATTCTAGCAGTGAGATAGACAATGGTTGCATTTAAAATCTTGGCTGTTTTGTTCAAAGAGGCAGGTTGACTCATATAATGGCATCCTCCCTTGAAAAGTGATGTATAGTATTCATATAATCTGGCAGTAAAAATACTTGTAGGACACAGGCATCAGTTTGTTACATCGAATATCAGTACATTACGGTATGTTTAACCCTTTGAAGCCAAAGGTCATCTAAATAATATTTAAGAATTCAGTTTGTACTGCAAAGAAAACATAAACACTTCACCGTTACAAAAATCAACTTGTTAATACTGTTTAAGGAAATAATAACTTTTTACAATGAAAATTATACTGATCCCATAAATACAGAATGAAGAGCTATTTATTATTGAAACAGATGGGAACTATAGTTACCATTGGGCTTTAAAGGGTTAATATTCTGTTTTTATTCAATAAAGTCTCAACTTCTAAAAAGTAAATATTATTACCTTTAGTGTTTGTTAATCCTATTATGCATAACAATCTGTGCTTGCTGTACCTTTGGAAATAAGTGTAACTGATTTCTGATTGATTGACTAGTGTGTAAACAGACTTTTTTTACTACCTTGTGCAGAATGAATCTAAGATGGTGGCAATTTTCTCGGGATAAAGGTGACATAAACACACATGCCAAGGTCAAAGAATGAGTGACCAATCTTTGATATCATCCATTGATTTTTCTACCATGGAGAGCTGTATGACAATGCTACTTCCATTATTTGCTGTCCTCTAATAGGCACTCCTCTTGTTCCCATATCCAGTCTTTCTCCAGTTTTTTATATATACTTCCATATCAGATGTTTCTGTCTTATCCTTGTTATCCCAGTGGTTGTTATTGAACATCTTAGTGTTATGTTCTCAAAGGAATCCTGTTCATGTATTTGTTTTACTGTGTTGTTGTTTTTTTATTTCCTGCAGTGTTTCTACCATCAAGTCTTGCTGAACATTCATTGTTCATATTTCATCCCTTCTTGTACATATCTTTAAGATTGTATAAACTCACCACTGTCTGTGATTTACTCTCTTAGTCCATTTCCAAGTATATGCTCAGTATTTTATTAAATTACAAACAAATAAAAGCTCTGTGTGCTCTTGTAAATATAATAAAGAATCTTTGAATTCCATTAAAAGTGGGTAATTTCTTGATTAGTTGAGCAGGGACTGACTGCACCATGAAGTTCAATAAAGAAGAGATGTGAACTTCCTTCAGCCTATTACTACATTTCATATATTACATGTCTCTTTCTTATAGGCCAATTGTCATGACTACACTTTATTCCAGCTGAATTTTAAATTTGTCTTGAGGACGCTTCATATCCGTTTAATGTTCAACAGTTTCAGTTTGTACTGAAATTATGTGTATTGATGTTTTTAAAGTTACCACTTCATTTTAGAATGTATTTCTTGCAGCTTTTCCTATAGCATATTAGTAATTACTAATACCCACTTCATCTTCTTAGTAATTTTACCAGTAAACTTGTTGAAACACATGAAATCATTATTTGTACTGGAGTAAAGCCAATAGAATTTTTGTTGGTTCTGTTCTTTTCTATTCATTTCAGGGAATGTGTTCAATAGAGTTGCCGATTATCCGTATTTTATTAGAATTATTATAAAGATGACTGTCTTCTGGGTTGTTGTGCCATGTAGTCTGGTAGAAGTTTACCAAAATTTCATAGGTCCTTACTGCCTCCATCATCAGGGCGATGGATGTAGCAAGGACATCTGAAACGTCAGTAAACTTCTACCAGACTACATGGCACAACAACCCAGAAGACAACCATCCTCAGTCTATCAGCCATGAAAACCCCAAATCCTACATAGAATTATCATCTTCCATGTAAGAAAAATTTGAATTTATAATATGTATTTGTATATAGACACATAAGTTTCACATTTCGAAACAAAGATAAAAAATACTAAACATTCTTTCTTAAAGTCATTTTTGTAACAGAAAGCCCTTTTTTTTGTTTGATTTTTCTGTTGGCCTATTTATTTTTTGTGTACCTACAAATTTGTAAAAGGTTGCCATAATCGACATCATCTTGTTTTCCCATGAACTAAAGTAATGTCTCAGCAGCTTAGCAGAAAATTTTTATTCAATTGACTCTACACCATCGTCAAGAAGTTTTAGATTAGAAAAATATATGTTGGAAATAATCTGAGACTGGTTAATCTACTCCATGGATAATTGGACCTTGTATAACTGGTGCTGTACTGTAGTTTATTGATCTGAAGGATATCTTCCTCTGCACTTTCAAAGTGCATTTGTATATATGATGATTTTGTGATGCTATGTCAGCTGTAGAAGTTCAGTAGTGTTCAATGATGTATGATGGTATGGCTATGATGAATCTGGTATAATGTAGAAATAAGCAGCTTAGTTTTGTTGCACACGTGTCATGGATTATACAATTTCAGGTAACTGTTACACATAAGACTTCTTTTTGCAGCCCGAGTGTAGTATAGTTATTATGTGTGATATAGGAAACAGATCCTTGCATTCATTTTTCATTTCATGTCTGAAACTTGCAATATGGTTTTACTTGTTATATAACTGTATTTCCTGTTAGCTGATAGTTTGAAATATATTCTGGTTATGTTGTCTGAGTTATATTTTGCAGTTTTGTTTGACTATTTGAGATTTGCAGGCTTGAAGATTGGTTGGTTGATTATGATACATGTTTTAATAAAAGTGTTTTTCTTTTTGTGCTTCAGATTTTGATGGATATATAATGATATGAACGTTTTTTAATTGTGTCCATAATTTGTACACCTGTATGGTACAATAATGATGTTTAAATGAAGCAACACAAGACAATCCCAACCTGTGATTTAATTAATTGCTATATATGTATGCCATGCTGTCTCTCAGAGTTTTTGTATTTTCATCATAATTTTAGTGCTGAGTGGTTATAGCTGTGTAAGAGATTATATGTACTTAAAAAGTGTTTCTTTGAAATGCCCAATTATACATTTTTGTCCTGGAATTTATGATCTTCATAGAAATTAAGGCCTAATTTTTGTATAAGAATTATTACATAGTAATTCATTGACAAACCTCAAGAACTGGTAGGTAATTTTTCTAATATATTGAGATTTTTGTCTTGGAATTTATGAGGGAATGCTGTAGTACTTTTAACTTTGGAATTGTAACTGTGAAACTGTAAATATAGGATGAAAGTTCAGATTATGGTGTTGGTCCTCTGAAACCTGCACACTTGCAACTGTTTTACTTAGTGGTGTCATGGTATGTCTCAAGACATGCTGAAGTGAATGGTATGGGCTCATTTGAATTTTTCCTCATGTAGATAAAACAGTATATATATATTCTCAGGAGTGTGAAACTTCCATTTCTGTCAAAATCTCATTTTTTATAATCCCCAACACCATTTGCTAATTACAGTATAAGTAAGAAGAATGATAAAGAATTGCATTAATAATTGTATCTGTTGTGGTGGGTTTGAATGCATTTTTCCTTGCACTCAAGTGTCTTTGCACAAAGGTAAACTTGTACATGTACCAGTGAGATCTCTGGGCCTCTAACAGGATCGACTATTTTAACATAAATTAAAGAAAATCTTTTGGTTCTCAAAACATGGTAGATAGTAGTAGTATTAAAAGGGCCATGCATTTAGAAAATCTTAGGAAATTCACATTTAAATTTCAAATATCCAGAAAATTCTGAGCAAACACCACCACACAATTATGTTTTAAATAAAATGGGTAAAGGATTGATGTTTTCTATTCATGTAGTAATTTATTTTCTTCTTGGACAAATCAGCTGGCTACATATTGGTATGCTTGTACATTCAACAAGTAGTCAGTCAGTATTACAGTGCTTTAATAATGATTTAGCAGTTTGTATGAGAACTGAATAGCTCAGTTAGTGTAGTGACTGACTGTGTACTGGACAACCAGGGTTCAGTGCCATGCTGAACAGGATTTTTCTTTATTGCCACAGCATCCATACCATCTCTGGCATCAAATGTGTTTCTCTTTAAGAGATGTGTAACAAGCATATGGGATTACGGGGACTGCCAGTACCCATTCCTGTGCTGTTATAGGAAGGATGTGTAAGACACCCCAATTTCAGAAATTTTAAAATGTAAAAAGAAGTGTGTGTTAAAATCAGATAAATACAGTATTTAAAGTGATCAGTACCAACACCATATTTGGAAAATGAAAAACAATTGAATTGGTGGTGCCAAAATCAACTGAAATTGGAACATGATGCATATATGTGGGGCAGTTTGCAATGTTTGAAAATGTATGTTCTTTTCCTGGAAAAAGATACTCTAAACAGGTCATGTATTTAATAAGTGATAAAGAAAGACTGCTGTTATATGGCACTGGTTTGTTACACATCTATGAGACCACCATCCATGAT